ATCTGATGGGGGATGGGGCTGGCCAAGATGGGGCTCTGGCCTCCTGTCACAAGCAGCCCTCTGTTCCCTTTGGAGGCCTGTTGCACATCTGTAGTTGAGGGCGTTGGTAAAAACAATATGAAGAATTAACATTTTTAAAAGTACTTGTAATATGAACAGTAGGGCTTTGCTTTCTGCCTCTCCTTTGCTCCTCCTCACGACCCTTCCAGGTAGGTACTGAGTGTTTCCATTTTCAAAGATTAAGAAATGGAAACTCTGGCGAGGTGGAGTGATGTTTCCAAAGATGGCGGAGCTGCTCAAGCCTGGGCACCAGACTCCAGAGCCCACGACCCTACCCATGACCCTGCAGGGCGCCCCCTCGGGTGCCCTCTCCTGGCCCCTGCTCTGCCCCTGGTGGCCCTGGGTCAGCATGGGGAGCAGGCTGCAGCGCGTGTGGGGCCATCGGGGTTGAGAGCCCAGGGACTGGGGAAGGCGGGTGGAGTGGGGCGGGCCGGGGGCCAACTCCGCTCCGAGCCAGGCTTTCTTCTCCTCCGCCAGCCGCCCCACCCGGCCGCGCCCCGTGCCCACTGCTGCCAAAGCCGAGAGGTTTCCTTTTTCTTTTGCCTAGGGCTGTTTCCTGCCTTTCCTTTGAACTGGGGTGTTGGCTCCCCCTCACATCACTCCTCCAGCGACACCCCTCCACCGTCCTCTGATGGGCTCATCCCCCCAGGCCGGCACAGGAGGTCCCAGAGGACCCCATTTCCTGGAATCCCTCCACCCCTCCTTCGCCCTCCTCTCTGCTCCGGTCTGGGTGCTGCCTGGATTCTCCCCATCCCTCCTCCCTGCCCGCACACCCGCTGCCAAACACTCTCTGTCCTACATCAGCAGCAGGGGACTCAGTGGATGTCCCCCTGCCTCTCTTACTTTCTAGTTTTCAGCCAAACGTGGGGACACTGAGGTCCAGCGAAGTTGTAGGACATGTGCAGGGTCTCCCAGCAATGGAGGGAGTGAGGCTGAGAACTCACGAACCCCAAGTTTCCAGGGGCAGCAGCGGGCTCTTAGAGTCCCTTAGAAAGGCACCTGAGGCTCAGGTGAGACAGGAGACCTGACCTCGGACCCTACACATCCTCCCCAGGACCAGCTCTCCCCACAGAGGTCACGTGTTCTAGGCTTCTTTATCTAAGAAGCCCTGTGGGGACCCATCTAGGACACACTGGAAAGCAGGCTGGGGGGTCTTCCATCAGTCACTCTCCTCCCCTCCCCTGAAGCCCTATGTCATACTAGATAGTAAAAAAAAAAAAACTATAGGCACTCTGGGTCCCCAGCACAGCTCATGCTGTCTCCTTGCCAGCCAGTCTCTCCCCATCCCCAACAGACACACACACCTGTCCCACACCTGTCATAGAACGCGCTGCTCTTCTTCCAATGCTGGCTCCAGGACTTCCTCCTCCAGAAGTCTTCCATTACTAATGCCTCCTGGCGCTGGTCCCCGAATAACAACACTGGCTAACACTTCTCATGGGCCAGACCCTATGCCAAGCCCTCTACAAACATTACCTCAGAGAATCCACACAGCAACCCTTTGAGACAGGTATTAGCTCCGTTTGCAGACCAGGAAACTGAGTCACAGAAGTGCCCATGAACTGGCCCAGGTTCACATAGCTGGGAAGCAGTGATCTGAGCCCTGTACCAATATGACCAACGCCTGTCTCCTCAGCCCTCTGCTTTCTTCCTCCAGCATCCTGTCTCTATCTCTTTGGTTACAAACATCCCCAGGCAGCGATGAGCAGGCTGCAGTTTACCCTGTCTCCATTCAGACTCACCATCTGACCTTTCACACCAATCCAGTGGTTCTCAGTGGCAGCCTTTCTTTTTCCCTCTTTCTTTCTTTCTTTCTTTCTTTCTTTCTTTCTTTCTTTCTTTTTTTTTTCCACCAGGGATTGAAACGAGGGCTACTTTGCCACTGAGCTATATCCCCAGCCCTTTATTTTATTTTGAGACAGGATCTTGCTAAGTTACTGAGGCTGGTCTTGAACTTGTGATCCTCCTGCCTTAGCCTCCTGAGTTGCTGGGTCTACCAGTGTGCACCCCCACACTCAGTTCACAGGCAGTCTTAAAGGGAGTGACTTCCAAGAAAGGAGTGAGTAGTCTATTGTGGGTTCCATGGAGCAGAGGCCCCTTCCTTAGCTCCAGTGGCTGTGTGTGAAGGAAGTGGTTGCTTGGGGGTGACTGCTGACATGGATGAGCCTCAGATCTTTTGCAGCTGGCTTCCCAAGACAACTTTTCTCCACACCACCTATTTCCCAATACTGTTCAGCTTTAGGGCAGAAAAGGGGGGACTCCACGGCATTACCTAGATTCTCCTACTCTGAGACAATTCTGTTTTATTTTCCCAACAAGTATTTGCTGTGTATTCCTTCTCTTGGTTCTGTGCATATTTGACGGGACAGAGCAAGAGGGCATCGTGCCTTCTCACTGTTGCACCCAAGCACCGTGGCTCCATCTTCCCCTAGGTGCATTCCTGAAAGAGCCAGCTAGTGTCACTGGGTCCTGCCCAGGTGACAATGTTTAGGAGGAAACTTTAAAAAGAGAGACCCCTGAAGGGCTATAAAGGAAATCTGTCCTTCCAACCTTGATCAAACAGGACTGGCATTGGGCTCCGAAATATTCATAATTTTTGGACTTGAGTATCAATGCAAAGGACATAAAGACTCACTGATGTTCCCTGAAACTGGAACAGAAGGAATGAGGAAAACTACACCATGAAAAGTAAAGCCGAGAAGGGACGCTTACGCCGGGTGGGGAAGCAGATGTCAAGTGATTCGTACTGGGACAGAATGAAGGAATGCAGAAGAGGACCCACAGGTATCTTCTGCAGCCCACAGGCATTTCTCAACATTGCTGACAAGGGAAAGGAGCCCCAGGACCCCCCAGGCCTGGCTCTTCCCAGTGCCCTCACCCTCACTCCACCTTCAGATGAGCTGGGCTGCTCTCTGGAGAGGGTAAAGAAAGAAGACTCTCTGAGTCACCTTCAGGACACCATCTATCACTCCCCACAGCCCACGGCAGCGGGCACAGTCCTCTCCACTTCCCTCCAATATTCCTGATCTGTGTGCTAATTCCTCACGTTGCCTCAGACTCCGTCTCCTCCCCTCTCCCAACTCAGAAGCTTTCTCATGTCTTAAGAGGGAGCAGTTTTCTCAGCCTCCAGGGAGACTCAGGACCAGTTCAGAAAATCCTACCCCCACGGAACCCAAAAGTAGTTCACGTGTCCAAGGGAATTGTGTCCAGATACTAGAGGGAACTTACGAGCATGGATGTGGGATGCTGAGACCCCACAAGTGGCACTCTCCCTCCTTCCCAATTCCTACCTGAAAAAGGATCTCTGACCAGTGTAGGAAGACTTGGGAAAGGAGTCTGGACAGATCAACCTTTGAAACCCATGCAAGTCTGTTCCAGAGACTGGCTCAACAGAAGTTACTTCTAAACTCGTTTTAGCTGCAGGATCCTGTCTTCAGACGAAACAATATCACATGCCCCAGTATATAAAACAGCAAGAAGTGGGGGTGCTTTGTTGTAACTGGGGTGGGGTCGGAGCCTGCCTGACTCTGCCAGCTGCTGTGGCACATTTAAAACACCACAGGACTCTGCTCACAGTTTCTGTCTTGCTTTCCTGTGTTGGTCCCTGCTGTCACCCCCTGGATATACAGGGCTCAATTTACCTTTCTGGAATATGGACATTATCTTCTCCTTTTCCTTCCCTCCCCTGGCTTATAGCCTGTGCCTTTTGGAGCAGCAGGGGATATTCCAATTGGGAACAGGGAGATTGGAGGGCAGACCCACCAAAAGTTGCAATTCAGGATCCTTCACGACCACCAGACATTGCCAACCCCGAGAGCTCTGGTCCCATTTAGCTCAACACACTCTTACGGGGCCTCTATTCTTTATCGACTAGCCAGCTCCATCTTCCTCAGAGGGCCTCTGTCCTGGAACTCCAAAGCCAGGTGGAGCCTCTCTCAGGCCAGAAAGAATTCTGGGGTCCTATCCCAGGTAGATCCCAGACTTTACCACCTGCTCCACCTTCTCTCAAGAGAGGTGGTGGCGCTGGGCTATGTGGGGGAGCAGAGATTGAGGAGATTCTCGTTCCCTAGAGCAGAGGTGGGAGGAGCCAGGTGGTCTGGAAAGTTCTCTCATCCCCTCCTTCTGCCTGTGGTGAGCAGCCAGAGCCCCTGGCCCCTCAGTTCTGAGAGAAGCTCCTCGAAGCCATCCTCAGGACAGCCGCCCCCAATAGGGTCCCCTTCACTCACCATCTCACCCCAACATAGACTCTAAAAATGGTTCTCTGGTTTTCAGCCCCAGTGCCTGCCCACAAATTAGTGTCTCCAACACAACCCTCCGGAGACTGGACTTCAGGGAGGCCCCTGGGGTGGAGGGAGGGGGCAGGGGCCTGAGCAAAGGGAGATGCCATTGGCAGGGTCCCTTTCTGAGAGATGACCGAGGGTGAGGCTCCCTCCCAGCTTTTGGGTCCCCTCACCAAGGCCACCCAGCCTCAGTGTGCCAGGCTTGCTCTCCTCCTGGAGCCAAGGATGGGGCCCCATTCTCCCCACCGGAGTGCACTCCCTCATCTTCCCCACCAATCCAGTCAGTTTTGCCCTCAGTCACCCTGCTGGCCACTGCTCTGCTGGGGAAAGCAGAAAGAGGAGGGGTCACCCCTACACTCATTATCCCTCCTGTTCAGGGTCCAGAGCCCACCTTGCCAGACCTAGACTCCCACAGAAACCCCACAACACACAGGTGCCAAGTGGGAAACCCAGCAAGGGAAGCCCAGGCACATACTCCTTTGACCCTTAGTCTCAGACTTTACTCCCCTCCCCAGCTCTGCAGCGGTGGACTTGGAAGGGCAAGAGCCCTCCCGGGATACCCATACCACCGTGACCCAACTAGGCAGGTGCCCTAGACTATTGCCACAACAGTGCAAGCAGGCAGCCGGGAGCAGGGGGAGACCTGCGGCGAGTACTCACAGGTATGCCGTCAGGGGGTCCAAGTCCACTGGCACAGTGGAGAGCCCGAGCTCAGAGCAGTCGGCTGACAGCATGATGCCATCCTCCTGGCAATGGCAGGGGACCGGACAGGCAGCACGCCCCGGGCCCAGCTGGGGGACGCCGCCTGCGCAAGGGGAGGCGCACAGCGCGGCGCAAAGCCACAGCGCCAGGAGCCGGAGCGGGCTGGGCATCTTGGTGGCTGGGCTGCGGGGCACCTGGCAGGCGCACAGGCGCAGTGACCGCCGCTGCTCGCCTCCTGGTCCGGCGGCCGCGCCGGCAGGCTGCACAGTCAGCGGGGACTGTCCCGTGGGCTCTCCTTGGCGTCGGCGGCAGCGGCGGCAGCGCAGGGACCGTGCAGTCAGAGAGGGGCAGGCATTGTTGAGTGATCTTCGTTATTCAGTTTCACAGGCTGGGCTTGGCAAGGGAGGGAGACACAGGCGGAGGAGGAGTCAAGGAAACTTTCTACGCTGCTCGCTCCCCTTCCCTCCTTCCTTCCGAGCTGGCAGGAATTTCATCCAGGAAAGGGGGGAAAAGAAAAAAAAAAAAAAAAAAAAGAAAAGAAAAAAGAAAAAGAAGAAAGCAAAGAAATTCAGAGCTTGGAAAGTTCAGAGCTGCACTTGTTTGGAAAGAGTGCCCCAGAGCTGGGGTCAGATGGACTCCAGCCCCTCTTGCCTTTTGGGACAGCCCGGGATCATAGGGACCCGGGGGAGGCCCTTAGGAGACATCTCAGTTCCCATAGGCCCCTAGCCCCTCCACAAGGGTTTCCACCTGAGGGACCTAAGACCCAAGAGAAATGATTTGTTCAAGGTCACACAGCCCATTGGAGGGCAACTGGAACTGGAGCACGGGTCAGCCCTCCTCACCTCCTCATCAGAGACAGGAGAGGGGGAAGTGAGGGGGCTGTCCTGGAAGGGATCAGGATGGGGAGATTCCAGGGAAAGCAGGGATGAAAGGTTGTGGGCTGTGAGAAGCCTCCTCACTGAGAGGCCATGCCACCACACGGAAGAAACAGGTGTGGATTTCCACCCAGTGAGTGTACAGTGAATGGAAATGCATTCAAGTAGTCTCGGTCAAGTTAAAGGTCTGGGGATCAGGTTGATCCTGCAAGCTCCCAGGACCCAGGAAGGCTGAGGGGCTGGGGTCTGCCCAGCTGGTTGTCAGAGCCTGCCAGAAAGTCAGCATCTTGGCGCCACCTGGAGGCTCAATGCTGTATCTGCACCTGAACCACCTAGATGCTCAAACAACAGGATCCTCTCTGGCAGTCCCTGGGACCTTCCAGAGCTAGCACAATAGTGGCTAAAACTGGAGTCAAGACCCTGTTCTCTCCTTAGATGATGGTGGGTTGGTTATTCTTCCTTCATATGGCTTCTTGTTTTCTCTGCTTTCCTGGTTTCTCTCTGAGCCCCAGTGCTCCGCCCAGTTTCTCCAGGTCTTCCCTGGTCCGTCCAGAGTTTTTTCCAGAGCTGGGCAAGGTGGCGATGCCTGCAGTCCCAGTGACTATAGAGGTTGAGACAGGAGAATTTCAAGTTCAAGGCCTGCCTAGGCAACTTAGCAAGACCCTGGTTAAAAAAAAAAATAAAGACTGGGGCTGTAGCTCAGTGGTAGCGTGCTTTCCTAACTTATGCAAGACCCTGAGTTTAATCCCCAGTTCTGCAAAAACAAGACATCAGAGTGTACACCAGAAACATGGGAGCTCAGAGGCAGCTCTGATTCCTTCCACCCTGCACTTCCATGTCCCAGGACCCTGTCATTGATCCCTTTTCACTCTCTGCTAACCTCCTGGGGTTACAGCCAGCCAAGAGCCAGTGGACCCTGATCTTGGTACTCTAATTCAGATCATGGCCCAGAAAGTAGATGAGCTCTTAGGAAGGCCAGAGGATGGCACCATGTAACTCTAAAGACCACAGATAGAAGTCCTCTGCTCTGTGGCAGAAAGCCCCCTCAGGGAGGCCTGTGTTTCTGGTCTTACTCATCCACAGCCTTGGCTTCTCCCCACTCTTACTGTTCCAGTGTGAGGGGTCCAGACTGGAAAAACCATTGTTGAGCCCCGTTGCAGCCTCAGAGGCAGACCCTTGAGGTGGACTTAGGTAGCTCAGAGCTGCCTCCAGCTACCGACGGAGGACGATCATTAAGAGGCCAATTTCTTGGGCATTTACATTCATTCCTCCTGGGGAACCACAGGAGTTTAAACTCATTCTGGGAAGGTTCCTAAGGGAGCAAAATTCCCTACCTTTGTTCCTCTTTCCTAACCAGGCCTGAGGAGGATCCTCTCTGACCTCTGACCTTTGCATATTACCAGGAACTCAAGTTGGCCAGTGAGAGTACTGTACCCTCCTCCACTGCAGGGGTGTTGGGGGGTTAACTCCATTTAGGGGAGGTCTGTGCTGATTTTCAAGCTTTCTCTGTGTCCTCATAGGGCCTTCCACCTGGGGCAATCCTTGTCCAGCAGTAGACACCCCTCCATCCTGACCCAGAGGCAGGTGTGGGCTCAGAGCACTCATGTCCTGTAGTGTGCAGTCTGGGACAGTCAGCCTCATCCTGTCTCCTGGCTTTTCCCTTCTGCACTTCCTCTCATTGCTTCTTCCTCCATCTCCTTCCTATGTGGAGGGAAGGAGGAGGAGACTGCAAAGGAACAGGGAAAACTTGGCCACTGTGGCCCGAGGGTCAGCCCTGATTCCTACCTTCCTGTGGGACTGTCAAACTTCTACCCTGGAAAGGAGCTGGCAGAGACTCTAGCGGGTAAAGGCTAGGGATGGCAGGAGAAGGAAGGTCAGGAACCAGACAAATCCTACTTCATTCAGGGCAGGTGGGTGGGAAGGGGGCGCAGTGAGTCCCGGGCTGAGCACCACAGGATGCTAGTGGTGAAGAGACTGAAGAGTGAGGAGACTGGGAAACTGGGAACCTGGAGGAGTGGGGAGTAGAAGAGCTTCGGGGCAAAAGCCAACAGCTTACTGGCTATGCCTCCATGGCTCAGCCGGACCCCAGGCCTCACCTCCCATCCCTGCTCCATGTTTGCCAACAAGGCCTTGTTTTGAGCCCATGTCAGGAGATGGACGGACAGAATACTCAGCTCAGGCTTGACTACAGGCCTTTATTCAACAACTCTGTTGCTTCACAACAAGGCGCCCAGGGAAACCAGGCCTAGGTCATCTTGCGGGGACTGGTCCTCCATGGCTGGAAGGGCACAGGCTGCTTCTGGACTCAGGTCTTCCCATTCATCAGTGCGCTATTCAGACAGTTATAGAGGTAGATATACTGCTCCTGGGGATAGAGATGAACAAGGAGGCTCAAACCTGATACAGAAAGGTCAGTCCCCTGTGTCCCCTAACCCCTAGGGCTCCATCTGGGCCAGTAGAGTGGTCCATAGCGCCACCTGGTGGTGACATGCATGGTGCCGCCTAGAGGTAGCCTGTAGCTGGGACAGAACCCTCCCAGTGCCTTCCCACATCTGAGCCCGTGCTGCCTCTCACCAGCGTCGGGGTCATGAGCCCACAGGCCTGTGACTGCTGCAGGGCCACGTTAAAAACATCCACAGTGCTTTCAGTCTCTGCCTGCTGCAGTAACTGCTCCATGGCCAGGAAGATGCCCAGCTGGGTCATGCCCTTGCTGCAATTGACTTAGAGTTGGATGGGGTAGCTGGAGGGGAAGGCAGGGGAGCGGGGATCAAGGACACATGGAGAAACCAAACCGGGGTCCAGAGACTGGGAAAAGACCCTAGGTAATTGGTCAACTGGGCCGAGGCAGAGAGGGGACAAATTCCTGTCATGTCACCGAGGACAGGGCAAGGTTCCGAGTAGACCGGGACATTGGAAGACTATGTCATTGAGACCCATGATCCAAGCGGGACTCAGTAAGATGTGTCCACAGCACCTTGAGTGGCTGAGCAGTGTGCTCGGCTTCTTGCTTTTGCCCCGGGAACAGCACTGACCCACAGCGGCCAGGAAGGGCAGCAGGGTGGTGGCGGGCAGCTCATGGCCAGGCTCCCAGCATGGTAGCTGCAGCTGCTGCACCTGCCTCTCCTTCCTGCTCTCCCCCTGGGCAAAGACACGGTCAGCACTGGTGCCCAGGAGGGCAGAGGGAAGCCAGCCAGGACACTGCCCACCCCTAGCCCAGCACCCCATGCCCCTTGGCCTCCACACCTACATGTGTAACCCTGAAGAGAGTACAGGGCCAGCCAGCTGTGTTGCTCTCGGCCACCCAGTGCACTGTCACCGTGTCTGTAATGATGGGCTGCTTCTCCGATGGCCAGAACTCCTGTGGCTGGGACCAAATGAGGGCTGTTCAGGCAGCTTCCTGAAGTCTTCACACACGTTCTGGTCACACACATTCCCCGAGCTCTGCCCCAACTCCTGCAGCCACCCATCTCTGTTCCTGTGCCCCCTCACCTTCTCCTGGGTCTCAGATGAGCACAGGGAGACCAGCACAAGGGCCCCATGCTCCCACACCAGGTCCCAGAGTTCCTCTGGCCCCGCAGGGCCTGTCAGCACCACGTGGTCACAGCCAGAAGGCCCACCCTGCAGAGCACGGCCAATTAGTTCTTATGGGCTGAGGCGTCCCCTGCCCATCCCACAGTTCTAGGAGACGCCAAAGCCCCATCCCCAGGCTGGGAAGCACAAATGGTCAGAGAGGGCAAGCAATAGGCCAGCAGGACCAGCATCTCACAGGGAAGAGCCAGGCTTCCGGCATGTCGTCAGAAGGGCTTTCCTCCACCAGAGAAAACTGCACCTGAGAACGATCATCTGCAGGAAGACGGTGAGGGTGAGGTGGCCTCTGCCCTCTCTCCCCACCCAGGGCTCCCACTGAGACTCACAGGAGACAGTGCTGTCCTGCTGGTAGCCAGGAGGGGAGGTTGAAGAGCTGGCTTCATCCTTAATGGCCTGCAGGAGGAGCTGGACGGAGACAGGCACTCTGAGGCTGGGCAGGGGAATGCCGCCCTTGCCTGTCCCCCACTCCCTGGCCTGAAGTGTACCTGATACTCTTTCAAGAAGCCAGCATTGCCATTGGCCGCCCTCCGGGCAAATGCCTGGGCAAAATTCCTCACTGAGATGGGCCTGCACCTGTGGGCGGGGGGAGTGGGGAGAAGGCACTACGGGTTCCCCGGCTCTTGCTTCCACAATTCCTGGCTGCACCCATGACAGGAGCTGGAACCTGTTGGTGGGAAAGCACAGGGAACCACACCCCATCGGCCAGGGCCCAGGGGAGCTGGACTTACTCAGAGGTGTCAGAGGGTCCTTCCAGAATCCTGTCCATGATGCAACTGTGCAGGAAGACGTACTGGCTCTGGCAGAGGGAGAGAGCATCAGGCCTCTGGACGGGTATGGGCCAGCAGGGAGGCCACCCAGGCCCCAACCCCCGCACGAGGCAGGGATGTTATCAGGGTAGACAAGAGAGCCATTTTGGAACCTTCCCATGTCCCATGGTGTCAAAGCTGGCAGGAGCCTGTCTCTCCTTCCCTTTTACAAAAAGGACCCCAGAGTC